AAAAAAAAAAAAAAAAAACAGAAGAAGAAATGATCAAAAGTGTATTTTATTAAAGGTTTTTTAAAAAAAACTCCCATCATTTACAGAAAATAGAAATAAGTACAAAATTGTTTAACTCCTTAAACTCAATTTAAAATTATTCCCACACCATTTATAAATGCCTACTTTAATCACTGAGTATACACAAACTTCTGAAAGTTGCGTGCAGAAAGAACTTTATAAAAAATGAGGTGTGACCTACCTTCCCACTTACTATAGACCCTTTTTGAAAAGCATTTTTCAACTACTATCCACAAAATTTTATGGCAATTTTATTTCCCAGTTTATTTTGACTCCTACTTGGAACTCTTTGCTTGCCGAATGCTCTATTCTGGTCTAGTGATTATAGCATATGGTAATATTGAATAAATGGAAAGACAAACAGTACTAAACAATGGCAAACACTCAGTGAAACACCAACAATATACAGAGCACTCTGTAATGCTCTACTGTATGAACAGATACATTTAGAAGCCCAGTTAGTAATTTAGAAATTAGAACACAGTTTGCTTCCTGACATGGGAGAGTTCAATTTTGCAAGCTTTATATTGCATTAAAATGGGTGTTGGGTCTGGTATCACTTTAGGTGATGGCTCACGCCTGTAATCCCAACAGCTGGTGAGGCCAAGGAGTGAGGATCACGTGAAGCAAAGGAAGGAGGATTGCTTGAGACCAGGAGTTCAAGTCCGGCCTGGGCAACACAGGGAGACTCCATCTCTATGAATAATTTTTTTAAAATTAGCTGGGCGTGGTAGTGCATGCCTATGGTTCCAGCTACTCAGAAGGCTGAGGCAGGAGGATTGCCTGAGCCTGGGAGATTCAGGCTGCAGTGAGCCGTGATCATACCACTGCACTCCAGCCCAGGCAACAGAGTGAGACTGTGTCTCAAAAAAATAAATAAATAAATGAGAAACTAGTTGGAAATTGTAGATATATACAAATAATCTTTTAAAAAATAATTTAGCTGGCATGGTGGCTCATGCCTATAATCCTAGTGCTTTGGAAGGCCAAGGCAGAAGGACTGCTTGAGGCCAGGAGTTCAAGACCAGCCTGGGCAACACAGCAAGACCTCGTCTCTACAAAAAATTTTATTTTTTGTTGTATTTTATTACTGATTGATTGACTGAGATGGGGTCTTGCTCTTTCACTCAGAGTGGAGTGCAGCAGCACAATCACCATTCACTGCAATCTCAACCTCCTGGGCTCAAGCGATCCTCCCACTTCAGCCTCCTGAGTAGCTGGGACTACAGGAATGTGCCACCACACCCGGCTAATTTTTATTTTAATTTTTTTATAGAGATGGGGTCTCACTATGTTGCCCAGAATGGTCTCAAACTCCTGGTCTCAAGCAATCCCTTAACCTCTGCCTCCCAAAGTGCTGAAATTATAGGCAAGAGCCACAGCACATGGCCTCTACAAAAAAATTTGTTTAATTTACAAACAATAATTAGGGGCCAGGCGTGGTGGCTCATGCCTGTAATCCCAGCTACTCAGGAGGCTGAGGCAGAAGAATCACTTGAACCCAGGCAGCAGAAGTTGCAGTGAGCCAAGATCACACCACTGTACTCCAGCCTGGGCGACAGAATGAGACTCCATCTCAAATAATAATAATAATTATTACTATACGGTTTGTCAAAAAGAAAAAACCACCTTACTTGCAAAGTCCAAGGAAACAAAGAATTCAAATGAATATAAAGATGTCAAACCTATACACAGGTGTCTCATGTTCTCATTCACATTCCATTTTTGTAAATTATCTATTTACCAGCTTTTTATACTATATTTTTCTTAAGGATTTTGCTAATAATGCTTTCCTCTTACCACAGTTACAGCAACAACAAAAAAGCCACTATCACTTACATATAAATTATTATGGCATTTTAATAATAGCTAGACTTTAAAGAGCATATTTTCAAAGCATTCTGCTGTCATTAAGTAATCACCGAAGCCAATTTTGAGGAAAGCAAGAATAGATATTTTCCAGCCTTAACCAAAACTTTTTCACATTCTCTGAATTTTCCTTGCAATTAAAACTTAGTGGGTAACTAACAACAGTCTTAAGAGCAACATTCAAAACCACAGCAACTTACAAATACTGTAGCTACAATTATAAGCTACTATTGAACTAAAAATAGTAACTTTTTTTGTTGTTGTTCAGACAGGGTCTTGCTCTGTCGCCTAGGCTGGAGCACCATCTCTGCTGACTGCAACCTCCGCTTCCCGGGTTCAAGCAATTCTCGTACCTCAGCCTCCCGAGTAGCTGGGATTACAGGCGCCACCATGCCTGGCTAATTTTTGTATTTTCAGTAGAGACGGGTTTTACCATGTTGGCCAGGCTGGTTTCCATCTCCTAACCTCAGGTGATCTGCCCACCTCGGCCTCCCAAAGCGCTGGGATTACAGGCATGAGCCACCATGCCCGGCCTAAAGATAGTAATTTTCTAGTGACAAATATATACACTCAATTCACTTAGAATAAGTGCCTAAAATTTTAACTGAAATTTCTCCTTTAAGAAGTTGAAAAACAATTCAATAACCTTTACGGATCATGCACTAAGATTTGGAGGGAGAAAAAAGCACCATGTTCACAATGAGTACAAAATGGCATTCTATTTTACTCCAACTAGGCAAATGTTGACAACTTTATGGGGTCAAATCTCAAACTATATCTTGTTCAATTTCTCTCACTTTTTTTTTGTTTTGTTTTTGGAGACAGGGTCTCACTCTGTTACCCAGGTTGGCGGGCAGTGGCACGATTTCAGCTCCCTATAACCTCCACATATATACATATGTGTGTGTATAGTTTGTTTGAGACTGTCGCCCAGGCTAGCGTGCAGTGTCGGCTCACTGCAAGCTCCGCCTCCCGGGTTCACGCCATTCTCCTGTCTCAGCCTCCCAAGTAGCTGGGACTACAGGCGCCCGCCACCACACCCGGCTAATTTTTTTATTTTTAGTAGAGACAGGGTTTCACCATGTTAGCCAGGATGGTCTTGATCTCCTGACCTGGTAATTCGCCCACCTCAGCCTCCCAAAGTGCTGGGATTACAGGCGTGAGCCACCACACCCAGCCATATATTTATATTTTTAATATATGATAATATATTATAAATTTTATACTATATTACATATATTATAAATTATATACTATATTACACACACATTTTATATATTATATATCATAAGTTATA